GAGTTAGGAAGTATTCCCTTTGCTTCTATTATCTGAAAATGGTTGAAGAGGATTAGTCAAATTTCTTCCATAAATGTTTGGTAGCATTCACCAGTCAACATGTCTGTGCCTGGTGCTTTCTGTTTTTTAAGGTTATAACTATTTATTCAGTTTATCTAATAGATACAGACCTATTTAGATTGTCTATTTCTTGTGTGAGTTTTAGCAGATTGTATACTCTAAGGAACTGGTCTTTTTCATCAAATTTGTAGGCATCAAGTTCATAGTGTTTATTATTACATAATAAATAACTATGTTAGATATAAATAAATGGCATGTTAGAAGGTGATAGGTACTTTGGAAAAAGAAAAACCTGAACTAGTAAAGGAAGTCAGTAGAGCAGGCCAGGGGCAGGATTGTAGTGCTTAAAAAAGGTTGGTAGCCGGGCTCGGTGGCTCAGCCTGTAATCCCGCGCCTTTGGGAGGCTGAGGTGAGTGGATTGCCTGAGCCCGCGGGTTCGAGACCCGCCTGCTCAGCGAGACCTCATCTCTACAATAAATCAAAAAAATCAGCCGGGCGTGGTAGCACGCACCTATAATTCCGGCTACTCGGAAGGCTGAGGTGGAAGGATCGCTGGAGCCCAGCAGGCGAGGCTGCGGTGGCCGGAAGCGGCCACTGCACTCCAGTCTGGGCGACCGAGTGAGATTCCAACTCAAAAAAAAAAAAAAAGGTTGGTTAAGGTAGTTTTTATTGGGCAGATTTGAAGGATCTGCGGGAGAAAGTTGTGCTGATACCTTGATAAAGAGTGTTATGTGCAGAGCGTAAAACTACAGCAAAGACTCTGATGTGGGAGTTGCTTGGTATGCTCAAAGTGAGGTCATTATAATTGGAGTGGAGAGAGCAAGGAAAAGATTTGTAGGAAAGAGAGGCAAAGCAGGGTAAATTTATGTTGTTACTTTGTAGACTCCTATGAGAACTTAAGCTATGACACTGAGGGAGAAGGGGAAATGGGGAGGTTATAGAACAGAGGAGAGACATTAACTCTGTCTGCTGGGTGGCAGATGGATGGCGGGTAGGTGTTTCAGGTCATGTGGATCCTTGTAGACCACTGTAGCTTGTAGACTTGAGCTCTAACTCTGAATGAGATGAGGCCCCTTGTAATATATTGAGCAGTGGAGAGACATGATATGTCTTAAATTTAGCAGGATCACTGCTGTATTGAAAAGAGACTGAAGGGTGAAAGTAAGAAAACCAGTTAGGTAACTAGGAATGCCACAATGATGACAAAGATCAAGGTAGTAACTTTTGAATTTGTTAAAAGTGGTTGTATTCTTTCTTTCTTTTTTTTGAGTAGGAGTTTCACTCTGTCACCCAGCGTGGAGTGCAGTGGCAAGCTCACAGCCACCACAGCGTAGACTTGCTGGGCTCAGGCGATCCTTCCACCTCAGCTTTCCAAGTAGCCGGGACCACAGGTGTGCACAAGCACGCCTGGTTAATTTTTTGATTTACTGTAGAGATGAGGTCTTGCCAAGTTGCCCAGGCTGGTCTTGAACCGGTGGGCTCAGGCAATCCTCTTGCCTCTGCCTCCCAGTAGTGGGTGGTGAGCCACCGCGTGAGCCACCGCGCCCGGCGGTTGGATTCTTGATGCCTCTTGAAGATAGAACCTCAAAGATTGAGTGTGAAATATCAGAGACAAATGGAGTCAAGAATAACTTCATGATTTTTGGCCCAAGAAAGTGAAACAGGGAAAAGAACAAGTGAAACAAGTTGGAAGATGTAGGGATATCGAGAAGTTGTTTTTTGATATGCTGAGTTTGAGATGCATATTAGTTGAGATGCGTATCTAGTGGAAATGTCAAGCAAGTTGTTAGACATATGAATCTGGTTTAATGAGGCCCCACTTGTCTATCTTACCTCTTGTGGCCTGGGCGCTTCGGATTTTGATCAGGCATTGGTTGCCAGTTCCAATTTCCATAAGAGTGTCTCCTGCATTTTCTAAGGCTCTTATAGTTAGAGGTTTTACATTTAGGTCTGTGATCCATTTAGAGTTAATTTTTGTGTATGGGGATAGGTAAGGGTCCTGTTTCAATCTTCTGCATGTGGTCAGCCAGTTTTCCCAGTACCATTTACTGAAAAGGTTCTCCTCTCCCCAGTAGTGGGTGGTGGAGGCTTTGTCGAAGATGCGTTGGTTGAGAAATTGAGGTTTTGCTTCTGCAATCTCAATTCTATTCCATTGGTCTATATACCTGTTCTTGTACCAATACCAGGCTGTTTTGATTATTGTAGCTTTATAATAAAGTTTAAAGTCTGGGAATGTGATACCTCCTGCTTTGTTTTTTTGTTGTTGAGGATTGTTTTGGCTATTCTTGGTCGTTTATGTTTCCATATGAATTCCTGTATTGTTTCTTCTAGGTCTGAGAAGAATGTTGCTGGTAATTTGATGGGTATTGCATTAAATCTGTAGACTGCCTTAGGTAAAATGGACATCTTAACAATGTTGATTCTTCCAGTCCATGAGCATGGAATATTTTTCCACTTGTTTGTGTACATATACACAATGGAATACTATGCATCCATAAAGAACAAAATCATGAGCTTCACAGCAACCTGGATGGAATTAGAGTTTATAATACTGAGTGATCTCTCACGGAAACAAAGAGCTGAGTATCACATGTTCTCACTCATAAGTGGACCTTGAACAACTACCATATTACTATAAGAAGATGATTGACAGTAGCGGGAAACTGCGGGGGAGGGGGAGGGTGGAGGTGGGATTAACAGTAGTTGATACCTGCTTGGGGAAGGGGGGCACACCTCATCAATAAAGGTACCTGCACAATGAATATTTGTATACCTAACCCTGAATTGTACCCCACCATTTTAAAATAAAAATTAAAAGAGGAAAAAAAAGAAATATGAATCTGAACATCAGGTGAGAGGTTTGGACTGCGGCTATAAAATTAGGAGTTGTCAGCATATAAATAATAAATCAGAGGAACTAGATGAGACCACCAAAAGAGTAAATATAGAGACAAGAAAAAGAACAAGGACTGAGCCTGGAACTCTACAATGTTTACAGATTGTTGACACGAGGAGGAACTAGCAAAAGAAACTGTTAACAAGTGACCAGTGATGTAGGAGGAAATATAGCAGAATGAGATTCTGGCAGAGACTGGTTTTCCAGGTGTCTGTTTTCGCAGGAGCATGAGTGTGAATCCACTTTTGGTGTCTTCCTTTACTGTAATTCCATCTGCTTCTATCTGTCACAAATCCCATAAACTGTCTGGCACATGGGTAACTTCTATGCCTTTGGTGCAGAGTGTTCTCTATATTTGTGTTTGGTGATTTCAGAAGGAATCTGGTAGGAAAGGTAGTGGGGCCTGTGTTCACACTTGCAAGTCCCACAGCAAGAAATTATTTCATAATAATTTCTAGAATTTGTTAAGTACTTTCTGTGTTCTAATCACTCTTCTAAGTCCTTTTCAAGCAATAGCATTTAAACCTTTCCGCAGTCCTATGAAATAGGTTCTATTATTGCTTCCATTTTACAAACGAGGAAACTGAGACAGAGATGGTAAGTAACTTGTCCAGTGTCATACAGCTAATACGTGGCAGATTGTGGATTTAAAAGTATACAGTCTGACTCCAGGGTAGCTTTTATGCAGTATGCATGCATCTTTCAAAACATGTAAACATACATATGTACGTATATACATACACTATGTGTATATATGTTTTTAATTCCATCTGTCTCCATCACGTCTTTCTGAGAAGAGACTTATCCTCACACTTTATGATGATGGTGACTTTTCTGTTTATTTCTCAGCCTGAGTTTTCATACTTCCAAGTTCTCGAGGGCTGCATTGTTCTGGCTGAGAGCACTTGCTGGACTTTCCTCATTTCTCTATGGTTGCTCTTTCTCAAGCTAGTTCACTGACTTACCTTTCTGCTCTTTAAATCTTGGGATTGAGCCGGGCTCAGTGGCTCAGCCTGTACTCCCGCGCCTTTGGGAGGCTGAGGTGAGTGGATTGCCTGAGCCCGCGGGTTCGAGACCCGCCTGGGCAGCGAGATCTCATCTCTACAATAAATAAAAAAATCAGCCGGGCGTGGCAGCGCATGCCTGTAATTCCGGCTACTGGGAAGGCTGAGGCGGAAGGATCGCCGGAGCCCAGCAGGTCGAGGCTGCGGTGGCCGGGAGCGGCCGCTGCACTCCAGTCTGGGCGACAGAGTGAGACTCCAACTCAAAAAAAAAAAAAAAAATCTTGGGATTTTCTGCGGTTTTGTACTTCTCTCAACACTTGCAAACTAGATAATCTAATATACTGTAACAGTTTTGACTACCATCTCTAAGATACTAATTCCCCCAAATCATATGCCGTTTGAGTCCAGGCTCATATATCTTGCTGCCTTCTGGACATCTCGTCTTTTAATTCAACAGTTATTCTAAATTTGAATGTCATACTCTTGGCACACTTATCGGAAAACTTTCCAATCCTGGGTTAATCCAACTCTCCTCTCTCTTCATGCCTATACCAGAGTAGCTTTTTACTGTAGAAAATCACAGTCGCCAAATCATGGTTACAGATCTCAACTGAGCCCTCAGTGCTGCTCTGCAATGCTATCACTCCTCTCTTCACCCTGTTCCCTTAGTCATCTCAAGGAATATTTCAAACCTCTCCTCTCCTCAAACCTTCAGCTCTGCCTCCAGCTCAGGAGATTCATGTAAGAAATGCAACGAGCATTTGTTATTTACTTGCTATATCTCCTCCTAATTCACAGAGAGAACTGAAATCATTAGTGACAAACTTCTTCAAAATCTGGTCTGATGTTCCATGTGCTGGAGAAATGTGCTCTGGCTGCCCACCTAGACTCCAGTACTGAGCCTTATGTGTTATGTATAAAAGTGTTATGGTTCTCTGCCTTTCTGGACCTGAGCACAAGGCCCTGGGGGTACATAGGGGCTTAGACCCTCGTTTTGATATTGTTCTGCATTTCTCACCACTTCGGTTTGTTACTTGCAGCTGATGTTGAAGGCCAATCCTTAAGAAACCGAGACAAGCGGCTTAGCTTAAATTTGGTAAGTTTGGCACTTAGGTTCCTTTTAACCTGAATTTTTACCAAAAATGACCTGACCTACATTTGCTCCCTTGAAGTCTTTGAGATTCAGCACGTGGAATCTCTGAGGAGTTTTCCAGTCTCACTTATGACTTGAACTTGTTTGGGTTTGAACTTCTACAAGAGTCTTTGCAGTTCTAATGGTCCAGCCACTTGCTCAACTTGCCTGTACTCACACAAGAAGTCCAGAGGCAGAACCTGAGCTAGAGGCTTCTTGAGGAAGTTCAGAATTATTCTTGGGTCATTTGGAACTGAAGTTATATGAGCAGCTTTGGTTACTCACTAGTAGCCATTTCCATGACTGGTCTGTGGATCCCAACGTGTGCCTGTTCTCTTACAGCCTTGCAGGTTCTCCCCGGTGTACCCCACAGCTTCAACCAGTGCTGAAGACAGCTATGTGCCCATGAGCCCCCAGGCTGCTGCCTCTGGACTCGACTGCAGCCCTGATGAGTACATCCCGATGATCTCAGGAAGCATCTCAAGCCCACTTCCTGAGTTACCTGCTGACCTGGAGCCACCTCCAGTGAATAGAGATCTCAAGCCTCAGAGAAAATGTAAGGCACTTAACTGGGTCTGCCTAGTTGGCTGTGTGATTAAAAGGAAGCATCTAGTGCAATGACTGTTATGTCTGACACTCACTGTGGTTCATTCCCACCTCTCTTTGCTCTTTGGAAAACTTACCCCTTCAGGTGACTTTGCCCAGAGCTGCTCACTAGGCTCCCTATTAATGCTTGGTTCATTCCAGTCACAACCCCTTCGATTACAGTCACACCATAGTTACACATTTACAGTGAGGAAGTGCGGGGGGGTGGGGGTGGGTCTTCAGGCTGAGGGGGAGGAAGAGATGTGAAAACCATGTGGACAAAACAGAGGATTGTGAAATCCATACTAAATAGGAAAGAATACCCTGTATTTTGAATTTCAGAGGAAAAAACCATTCACTCTGATCAGAAACAATTTCACAGGGCCTGTAACTTTGAGGTGGACAGTATTGTTTTACTCAACCTTCCTTCCTTCCTTCCTTCCTTCCTTCCTTCCTTCCTTCCT